AGGTTTAAATGACTGGTTTTGAAATGCAAGACACGCCCTTTGTGTTGCACTCCCCCAACTCACCAATGCAGGAGAGCTTGTCAGAAGACGGCGTGAAGCCAGCGCTGCAACTACAGGATGGATCTCCGCTCGCATCCCTCTCGCAGTTGCCGCCAGGCCCACACTTCACCGCATCACAATTGTCTGCAAAGAAGCAACCCACACAGGTGGTAGGATATTGTGAAATCATAAACACAGTGATGATCACATCTTGACAATCAAGGGTCAAAGATTTGAAGGCATTCAGTAACTTCAGGAAAACAGTATGACTTGAAAAGAAGCCAGGTTTAAATGACTGGTTTTGAAATGCAAGGCACCCTCTCTCTCTCTTTCTTGCACTCCTCCAACTCACCAATGCAGGAGAGCTTGTCAGAAGACGGCGTGAAGCCAGCGCTGCAACTACAGGATGGATCTCCGCTCGCATCCCTCTCGCAGTTGCCGCCAGGCCCACACTTCACCGCATCACAGTTGTCTGCAAAGAAGCAACCCACGCAGGTGGTAGGATATTGTAAAATCAGATCCACAGGGATTACCAAGTCTTGACAATCAAGAGTCAAAGACTTGAAGGCATTCAATAACTTCAGGAAAACACTATGACCTGAAAAAGAAGTCAGGTTTAAATGACTGGTTTTGAAATGCAAGGCACCCTCTCTCTCTCTTTCTTTCACTCCTCCAACTCACCAATGCAGGAGAGCTTGTCAGAAGACGACGTGAAGCCAGCGCTGCAACTACAGGATGGATCTCCGCTCGCATCCCTCTCGCAGTTGCCGCCAGGCCGACACTTCACCGCATCACAGTTGTCTCCAAAGAAGCAACCCACACAGGTTGTAGGATATTGTGAAATCAGATACACAGTGATTATCACATCTTCACAATCAAGGGTCAAAGATTTGAAGGCATTCAGCAACTTCAGGAAAACGCTATGACTTGAAAAGAAGCCAGGTTTAAATGACTGGTTTTGAAATGCAAGGCACCCTCTCTCTCTCTTTCTTGCACTCCTCCAACTCACCAATGCAGGAGAGCTTGTCAGAAGACGGCGTGAAGCCAGCGCTGCAACTACAGGATGGATCTCCGCTTGCATCCCTCTCGCAGTTGCCGCCAGGCCCACACTTCACCGCATCACAGTTGTCTGCAAAGAAGCAACCCACGCAGGTGGTAGGATACTGTGAAATCATAATCAGAGCCATTACCAAATCTTGACAATCAAGGGTCAAAGTTTTGAAGGCATTCAGTAACTTCAGGAAAACACTATGACTTGAAAAGAAGCCAGGTTAAATAACTGGTTTTGAAATGCAAGGCACCCTCTCTCTCTCTTTCTTGCACTCCTCCAACTCACCAATGCAGGAGAGCTTGTCAGAAGACGGCGTGAAGCCAGCGCTGCAACTACAGGATGGATCTCCGCTCGCATCCCTCTCGCAGTTGCCGCCAGGCCCACACTTCACCGCATCACAGTTGTCTGCAAAGAAGCAACCCACACAGGTTGTAGGATATTGTGAAATCAGATACACAGTGATTACCAAATCTTCACAATCAAGGGTCAAAGATTTGAAGGAATCCAGTAACTTCAGGAAAAACTATGACTTGAAAAGAAGCCAGGTTTACATGACTGGTTTTGAAATGCAAGGCACCCTCTCTCTCTCTTTCTTGCACTCCTCCAACTCACCAATGCAGGAGAGCTTGTCAGCAGACGGCGTGAAGCCAGCGCTGCAACTACAGGATGGATCTCCGCTCGCATCCCTCTCGCAGTTGCCACCAGGCCCACACTTCACCGCATCACAGTTGTCTGCAAAGAAGCAACCCACACAGGTGGTAGGATATTGTGAAATCAGAAACACAGTGATTATCACATCTTCACAATCAAGGGTCAAAGATTTGAAGGAATCCAGTAACTTCAGGAAAAACTATGACTTGAAAAGAAGCCAGGTTTACATGACTGGTTTTGAAATGCAAGGCACCCTCTCTCTCTCTTTCTTGCACTCCTCCAACTCACCAATGCAGGAGAGCTTGTCAGAAGACGGCGTGAAGCCAGCGCTGCAACTACAGGATGGATCTCCGCTCGCATCCCTCGTGCACTTGCCGCCAGGCCCACACTTCACCACATCACAGTTGTCTGCAGAAAAAAGAAGCCAATGCAAGTGGTAGGATATTATATAATCAGAAAAACAGTTAGATTCAAAGCTTGACAATCAAGGGCGACGACTTTGAATACGCATGGAATTCAAAAACCATGAGCTGAAGGGAAGCCAAGTTTCGAGTTGGTTTGAAACACAAGGCATTCTCTCTGTGCTGCACCCCTCCAACTCGCCAATGCAAGAGAGCTTGTCAGAAGACAGGGTGAAGCCAGCTCTGCAACTACAGGATGGATCTCCGCTCGCATCCCTCGTGCACTTGCCGCCAGGCCCACACTTCACCACATCACAGTTGTCTGCAGAAAAAAGAAGCCAATGCAAGTGGTAGGATATTATATAATCAGAAAAACAGTTAGATTCAAAGCTTGACAATCAAGGGCGACAGACTTTGAATACGCATGGAATTCAAAAACCATGAGCTGAAGGGAAGCCAAGTTTCGAGTTGGTTTGAAACACAAGGCATTCTCTCTGTGCTGCACCCCTCCAACTCGCCAATGCAAGAGAGCTTGTCAGAAGACAGGGTGAAGCCAGCTCTGCAACTACAGGATGGATCTCCGCTCGCATCCCTCGTGCACTTGCCGCCAGGCCCACACTTCACTGAAGCACAGTTGTCTGCAGAAAAAAGAAGCCAATGCAAGTGGTAGGATATTATATAATCAGAAAAACAGTTAGATTCAAAGCTTGACAATCAAGGGCGACAGACTTTGAATACGCATGGAATTCAAAAACCATGAGCTGAAGGGAAGCCAAGTTTCGAGTTGGTTTGAAACACAAGGCATTCTCTCTGTGCTGCACCCCTCCAACTCGCCAATGCAAGAGAGCTTGTCAGAAGACAGGGTGAAGCCAGCTCTGCAACTACAGGATGGATCTCCGCTCGCATCCCTCGTGCACTTGCCGCCAGGCCCACACTTCACTGAAGCACATGTGTCTGCAAGGAAAGGATACATAAAAAAAGGACGGATGATGAGGTTTCACAACAAAGGGACCCAGGACATTTTGCAGCATGAGATGATGAGAATCATGCTGAGGACGTCAGAAGCCTATGTGTTCAGCTATACAAAGATATAAAAAATGGAGTTGAGTAATAAGGAACGAAAGAACCGTGGGTCACCTATACAACGATATCGTGCGATCGATAGTGCGTCTCATCCCCCTGTAACACACAGGTATGGCTGTCTAGATGTTTCCTACCATTTAGCATTGTAAATGATGATAAGGTTTACGTCCATGGGGGTTAGAACCAACGAAATCAGGCATGCAGACCACCATGCACTATACCAGATTTGCAAAGCATTGTGCAACAAATAATGCTATGCTCACACCAAACCTTTCCTTTGTAGCAGCTGATCAAGATCATACCTCTAACCAGGTGTCACAATGCCAATGCTTAATTTTGAAGTACAGTACGCTCTGACATGTGTCATGGTGTTAGCTAATCAATCGGTTTCCCATGTTAGAGCAAGTCAAGCGGAGCAAATCAACCAACTGAACTCACCAACGCAGGTGTCATTGCCTGGAAGCCTCTTGAAGCCACTGACGCAATCACAAATTGCATTTCCACTCGCATCCTTGATGCAGCGGGAGTTGGCCATGCAAGTCACCAGCGCGCACTTGTCTGCCATGCATGTGGGTTTGATGAACAGAAATGGAGGTGGGATAGAAGTGGGGGGATGGAGATGTAGGCAACACAAATGCTTTGAGCTTCGAAGAACAACAATTCACCAGCACAGGTGCCATTGAACAGGATGCTTCCTGTTCCTGTGATGCGAGTAACGCAAGAAAAGGTGCGTTGAGCCTCTCTTTCCCATGCCTATTATGTTTTCCTCTTTTCTCATAACATGTCTGGATGGAGTCGGTTATCACGCCAGTCTCACACACTGGAGGTCTCCGGTTCGATTCCGAGTTTAGACATGTTTTTCGTCTCCATCACTCTTGTGCACATTTGCCACACGAGGCATCTCAGCAGCGTACCTTGGCAGGTGCCATTCAACGCAGCGAAGCCCGGGTTGCACTTTTGAGGCGCCTCAAAAGTACCTTGGCAAGTGCCATTCCTTGCAACAAAGCCCGCGTTGCATGCACAGGTGACGCCCTTGCTGTCACTCGTTGGCATGCACGTGGAGTTGCTCGGACACATGGCGTGCTGGCAGGTGATGTCTGCCATGTCATGAGGGGCAGCAGGGATGTGTGCAGCAAGGCAAGCATGGAGTTGATGGAGTAAATGCAGAACGCTCAAATTTGTAAAGGAGAAGCAAGGTGGCAAGGTGGCATGGTGGAAAAGGAGGCAAGGAGACAGGTGACCAGGGCAACGAGGCGAGGTAACATGGAAGCAAAGAGACAAGTCAAGGAGGACAGGAGGCAAGGAGGCAAGGAGGCAAGGAGGCAAGGAGGCAAGGAGGCACGGAGGCAAGGAGGCACGGAGACAAGGAGGCACGGAGGCACGGAGGCACAGAGGCACGGAGGCACGGAGGCAAAGAGACAAGTCAAGGAGGCACGGAGGCACGGAGGCAAGGAGGCACGGAGGCACGGAGGCACGGAGGCACGGAGGCACGGAGGCACGGAGGCACGGAGGCAAGGAGGCACGGAGGCACGGAGGCACAGAGGCACGGAGGCACGCACCAGGCTGGCAGGAAACAGAAACCCATCGGGAGATCTTCTTTGTGCTGCAAGGACGTCAGAAGCACATTCAGATCAGACGTTGGAACACGTTTACATCAGGCGTTAGGAGCAGTTTCGAAGAGGACGTTAGGAACACGTTAGGTCAGCACAACCCGAGGCTTGATAGTGGCATTGGTAGAGGGAACTCACCCACCAGCCCCAATCACCAACCAGCCATCACCCGCCTGCCCCCATCCAACTTCGCCCATCCACGTGCCTCTGACCCACGTGCTCCCATGACCCACGTGCCACCATGACCCACCTGGGCACATTGAAGAATTTGCGCAGGCCGGCGTATTGCGGCTTCAGCACCTCATCCAGCGCCTTGCCCTTGCAGGCAGGGTTGGCAAAGAACCGCAGCTCCTTGCACACCGCACCCCCATGATACGTGCCCACTGCGGCGGGCTCCTTCCCACGCGAACTCCCCCCACCCTTGCTGCGGCCTTTGTTGCCCGTAAGCCCGTGCCACCACACCTGCAGGCCGCGCCCCGCCTTGAGAGCCCTGAGAGCCGCTGAAGAGAAGCTGAAGCAGCGGAGGGCGTCGAAGCTGACGTTGAGGCTGACGCCCGACACCGTGATCTGCGTGCCCACCGCCACCCTCGCTTCCACCGCCCCGCCTGGGACGCCAACCCCCACGCCCAACCCCACACCCACTCGCTTGCTCGCATTCTTGCTTCCCGTGACCGTGCCCTGGATTCTGAGGCTTCAGGCAGACATACTAGGCTCGCCGTTTGCGCCGCCGCCGCCGCGCACTCGCGCGCGCGCGTTGAGGCGATCCGCGCCGCGCTCGCCTGCCGACGCGTGAGCCGTGATGATCGCTGGATACAGAGGGGCGGTTTAGGGTGGAAGGGTGAGATGGAGGGAGCGGGGGGTGCGAGGAACGGACGTCGTGCTTCTCGACTTAAGTCGAGATAAAGCGGGAGCCGAAGTTAGACTACTCTTGTACGTGCGCAGCCTTTAGTCTAGACCATGAAGACTATTTAGAGTCTTAGTAACAAGCATATGAAGCTCTGGCCCCAACTGTGTGAAGGAATTTGCTGGAAAACGCCAAGGCAGAAAGTTCAAGTAATTTCATTGAAGAAGGCATGCAAAAACAGAAAACACAAAGCAAGTTATAAGCAAAAGGATTTCTGATTTCGCCCTCGCACCGCGCCTAATTTCGAGCTGAGTTGTACTCGGCTCAATTTCCAAATCCAACCATGCATCGAACGCGCCTCGAGTTCGAATCAGACTTCCTTGGACGCGCCTTTGACCCGGCGTGACTTCTCTTCACGTCGCTTGGAATCTCGACATTTCAGCTGTTTTCTTCTCCATTTCTGCACACTTCCCCTCCTTCTCTTCGATTCCCACTGCAGGTCGCGCCGCTACCGTGTTTCTCTTCCACCGTCCCAACATAGGTAGCTCCTCTTCTTCTTAGGTCCTCGCTTTCCCTTAGTCACAGCTCGTCAAACCGAATTCTTCTTAGGTCGATGTAGATCGCGTTAGGTCGTTCTAGGTCATGGTTAGCCAACCACCTTCAACAATCTCCCCTGTGGTTTGCTAACCACCAGCTTATGCACGCTCCCTCGTACGTTTCACCTTGAACCACCTCTAGGCCTGCACCACACTCCCCTGCAATTCAGCCAAGGTACGTATCCCAACCTCTCTCTTGCAACGCTCAAAATTAGCCCTTGGTAACACCTTAGTCAGAAAATCTGCCGTCTGTGCCTCCGTACGCACGAATTCAAACTCAAACTCTTTGCTACTCACCTTTGAACGCACCCAATGATACTTCACGTCCATATGCTTGGTCCTGCCGTGCCAATTGTCGTTATGAGCCAAATCGATTGCAGATTTGCTGTCCGAGTGAATCACCGTAGGTCCTTCCACCTTTATTTCCATCTCCTTGAGTAGCCTTCTCAGCCAAACCCCCTCTTGGCATGCGTAAAACAGAGCCATGTACTCCGCTTCCGCACTAGAGAGCGATATGTCAGCCAACTTTTTTGCTTGCCACATGATTGCTGTCCCGCCGAGCAGAAACACGTAACCGTATGCTCCCTTCCTTGTTTTCTTGTCGGATGCGTGTGAAGCATCCGCATACCCCACTAACTCCAAGGTCTCTTCACCTCCTTCGAATAACAGTCCCTCATCTTCATGTTGCAGTAGGTAGTCGATAGTCCTCCTCATCTCTCTCCATTTTCTCTCCCCTTGCTGCTGCACTTGTTGCCCAAGATAGCTAGCTGCGTATGCCATATCGACACGCGTGCATGAGACCGGATACATTATGGACCCCACCATGGACTGGTATACCTGTAGAGCCCTCTCCTTGCTACCCCATTGGTTGACATCTTCCTCTCGTTCACCGTCGTTTTCAGCTACCCCACTCAATGGTGTAGAAATCGCCTTCGTGTAGCCGTTGCCAAACCTCTGCTGCACCCTGCTGCAATATTTCTGCTGGTACAGAAACATCTTGCTCTCCTCCTTACGCCGCTCCAGATTCATGCCGAGAAAGAGTGTGGTCCGTGGAATTTGCTTCACTTGAAACACTTCCGCAAGGTGAGTGCACACCTTCTCTACCTCCTCCTCTAACGCCCCTGCCACTAAGATGTCGTCCACGTATAGCACCAAGAACACCTTCTCCTTCCCTTCTCCCTTCCAGTAGAATGCCCTATCACACTCACTTTTCTGAAATCCCCCTTGCAGTAGCCGCTCATCCATCGCCATATACCACTCCCTAGGACTTTGCTTCAGCCCATATAATGCCTTGTTGAGCTTGCATTTTCTGCCCGAGCCATCGTCATGCCCTGGTGGTTGCTCGAGGTAGATGTCCTCCTTCAGCACCCCATACAAAAACGCGTTTTTAATATCCAGCTGCACCATGAAATATTTCCTTGCTGCTACCACCTTGAGAAAGACCCGTGCCGTTGTCAACTTGCTCACTGGAGCATAGATTTCGTTCTTGTTGTAGTCTTTCCCCTCCACCTGAGTGTAGCCCTTGGCTACGAGCCTTGCTTTGAACCTTTCCAGCTGCCCCATATCTCCGGTCTTGATCTTAAAAATCCACTTCACCCCCACGGCTTTCCTTCCTTCTGGCATAGGCACGAGCTCCCATGTGCCCCTTTCAGCCAATGTGTTCAACTCCTCCTCAATTGCCGCTTTCCACTGCTCCCTTTCTGGACCCTCTAGCGCCTCCTCGATGCTCACTGGTTCTTTGGGCAGGTTGTGTGTCACTTTTCCTTCATTGGAGACTAGGTCAGTAGCTGTGGCAGAGAGTAGGAGGTGGGTATGGATGTCCTTCCAGCACGTCATCAGCAGTTGCGCATACCGAGGGTTTGGTTTCTTCACCCTCTTTCCTTTCCCCAACTCCTCTGCAGGTGACTCGACCTCATCCTCACTGGAATCCGCCAGTGCTTTCCCTTCTCCATTCTTCACTTCCCTTCCAATCACGATGGCGCCCTCCTCAAGTAATTCCTCTATCTCCCTCATCTTGGCATTGTTGTCATCACTGTTTAGAAGCTTCCAAGGATCACTATCTCCTTCAGCTGCTGATTCTTCATCTCCCTCTTCTTCAGCCACTTCATCAATGCCATCCTCAGCTACTTCTTTGCTTGGCTGCTCCCCTGCTATCTCCACTACCTTGCTTTCATCCGCTTCCCTGGTTGGTGCCTTCTCCCACACCCAATCAACTGAATCTGCCCGTTCCACATCTTCGAGTTCCTCATCTCCTTCATCACCAACTCCCTCACTCTCCTTTTCTTCCAAAAGATCGTCCACCTTGTCCGGTGCAATTGCTGTCCCTGCTGCTGCAATCTCTTTCTCTACTCCCTTCCACTGCAGGTAGTTCACCTCCTCGTAGAAGACAACATCCCGGGTGATCATGACCTTCCCTGAAATTACATCCTTGATCACCCACCCCTTGCTCACCGGGCAGGTACCGAGGTTAATCCCCCAATGAGCCTTGGGCAGCAACTTATGATCCGGACCGGCTGGCTCCCTGTATTGCACCATACTTCCCCACACCCGAGCGAACCCCAGATTCGGCTTCCTGCCATAGAAGGCCTCGTGGGGAGTCATATCTGCCCGAAGTCCCTTGGTAGGTAGCCGGTTCTTGGACCAGCACGCCATAGCTAATGCATCACCCCAAAATTTCAGCGGCAACCCACTGTCGGCCAGCATGCTCCTCACGCTGTCTAGTAGAGACCGATTCACTCGCTCCGCTATGCTGTTATGCTGTGGAGTGTAGGGTACAGTCAGCTGCCGTCGGATACCCTTGCTCTGTAAAAACTTGTTGAACAGCTCACCGGTAAACTCCCCTCCATTATCTGTCCTTAAAACTTTCAGCACCTTCCCACTTTGCCGTTCCGCTTCCGCCATCCAAGTCACGAAGCTAGGAAACACTTCTGCCTTATCTTTCAGCTCCGTCACCCATGTGTGCCTCGTTCCCAAATCAGTGAAGGTAACGAAGTAGCGGCTGCCGTGTCGTGACGCCACCCTCATAGGCCCACACACATCGGCTGCTACGATGTCCAAGGTGCCATAAGGCTCATGTACCTGGTGGTGGGGGTGAGGGGACTTTGTGATTTTACCTTCAACACACTTGCTGCATTTTCCCTTGCTTCCAGCCCCCTCCTTCAGTGCCACACCTTTTACCATGCCCTTTTTGACCAACTCCTTGACCCTATCCATGCTTGCATGCCCCATGCGCCTGTGCAAGGTCTCCAATTCCACCTGCTCCATCCCAACCACCATGGCAGAAGCTTCCTGCTGCAGCTCCTTCACAGGTAAGCCACCAAGCCGAGCCTTCAACTCCTCCCTAGCTAGGTCCCCTTCGAGTGATGTCAGGTAGGTGGCATTCTCATCCTCCAGCCCCTTCTTCCTCAGCTTCATTTCATACAACCCCTGATTTCTGTTCCCTTCTGCAACCACCTTCCAATCCTCATTGAAAACCCACAACTTTCCTTTGTCGCTGAAGGTTTTGCACCCCGTGCTGTCAAGTTGAGACTGGCTGATCAGATTCAGTGAGAGCTTCTCCACTAAGAGAACATTTTCCAGCTTCAGCTCCCCGTACTCTCCTTGGAGTAGCAACTCTCCTTCCCCCTTCACAATCAGCTTCCCTTCATCCCCCAAGAGCACATACGGTACGTTGGAGTCCCTCAGATTTGTAAGCCACTCGCAGTGATTGGTCATGTGCTGAGTGCACCCACTGTCCATGAACCACGCTGCTTCACCGAACCCCTTTGCCACCAAACACACCCCCGATGCCCTTGCCACGTTTGCCTTGAGAGCTCCTCCCAAGATGACGTCCGCTTCACTGTTTTCAGCTTCCACTGCATTTGCTTTTGCTGCTGCTGGTTTGATTTGCTGCTGGTTTGCTCCTTGGTAGTTCCTGCTGTTGGGGTTCGAGTAGCAGTTGGCTGCCCTATGCCCAATTTTCTGGCAATAGTGACATGCCCCTGAAAATCCGCCTCTCTGCATCTTGTTATCACCTCGAACCTCCCCCTCTCTCTGCTGCCATCCGTTCTGCAGCCCCTTCTGCTGCGGACCGCTCCATTTCCCCTTGAAAGTTCTGCTCCTTGGGTTATCATAGCAGTCTATCTGCTTATGAACCTTCTTTCCACACTGAAAACACGCCCCGAAACCTCCATATCCTTTCCCTGTTGCTGCTGCGTTTACCATAGCATGTGTGGCTGGTCCCATTCCATTCAAGCTAACCTCCTTCCTGAGCCGATCAGCTTTCACCCGCTCCAGAGCTTGGAGCGTCTCCAACAGCTTGGTCATATTTGCAGGTGGGTTGCAGGTTAGGAGCCCTATCTCTGCTTCCCACTCCTTGGGCAGCCCACTAATGATGTACCCCATCATTTCTCCTTCAGTTTCAGCTGCCCCCATAGCCTTGAGGTCGTCATTGTACCCCTTTGCTCGATTTATGTAGTCAATGACCCTCTCCCTCGGCTCCATATTCAATAGGAGAAGTTTCTTCCGAATGGCGGCTTTGTTGGTATCCGTAAGTCCAAGGTAAGCAGCTTCCATGTACTCCCAGGCTCGTTCGGCAGAGTTCTCCTCTCCAGAAAATTGATCCAGCCCCACTGCAATGCTGTCCGAAACTGAATGACACAATTGGAAAAAAACTTGCTTACTCCTTTTTTTGAATGACGCATTTTCTTCTGGTTTTTCTTTTGCAGATGTTGGGACGCCCTCTCCCGTTTCCTTGTCGGGATGATAATACGGCCAGAGATCCACTTCCTCCGCTCTACGAATGAACTTGAGTCGCCACGTGCTATAATTTTCTCCATGGAATCGTTGGGCCTCGCTAAGCCCAATCGTTGGCTTCGCCGTCAATTTAGCTTGTGCTAGCGCTGTTAGGATGGCCTGTAGTTCTGAGCCTCCAATGCTCACAGAGGAGCCCGAACTCGCCTCAGTATGATCGCCCGTCATACTTAGTAAATTCCGCCTATCCTTAAAACGCTAGAACACGCCTTAAACCAGCTCTGATACCAGCTCTTGTACGTGCGCAGCCTTTAGTCTAGACCATGAAGACTATTTAGAGTCTTAGTAACAAGCATATGAAGCTCTGGCCCCAACTGTGTGAAGGAATTTGCTGGAAAACGCCAAGGCAGAAAGTTCAAGTAATTTCATTGAAGAAGGCATGCAAAAACAGAAAACACAAAGCAAGTTATAAGCAAAAGGATTTCTGATTTCGCCCTCGCGCCGCGCCTAATTTCGAGCTGAGTTGTACTCGGCTCAATTTCCAAATCCAACCATGCATCGAACGCGCCTCGAGTTCGAATCAGACTTCCTTGGACGCGCCTTTGACCCGGCGTGACTTCTCTTCACGTCGCTTGGAATCTCGACATTTCAGCTGTTTTCTTCTCCATTTCTGCACACTTCCCCTCCTTCTCTTCGATTCCCACTGCAGGTCGCGCCGCTACCGTGTTTCTCCTTCCACCGTCCCAACATAGGTAGCTCCTCTTCTTCTTAGGTCCTCGCTTTCCCTTAGTCACAGCTCGTCAAACCGAATTCTTCTTAGGTCGATGTAGATCGCGTTAGGTCGTTCTAGGTCATGGTTAGCCAACCACCTTCAACAACTACCAGGATGGAATGGCTCACCGCAGATGACGGCAAGGACGAGGAGCGGAAGCAGCGCGGCAGGAGAGGAGGTCAGCCGCCACGTCAGCTGGGTAGCACCCGCGACCGAGTCACGACTCGTCGCGTCTTCGTCGACAACCGGCAAGCTCCTCGCCGGGTGACGCAGTTGTCGCACGCGTGACGCACGGGCAATTAATAGCGCAATGCTAGGCGAAGATGGTCGTCAGATGAGATGGTACAACAAGAGGCCGAGTGGTAGTAGTACGATACACGTGGTATGATCTTATGATACGAAGGCCGTAAAGCTGCCGGCGCTGCTATCATACAGCACGAAAGAAGCGGCGGAAAATATGTTTCCATGGCTGCTCTGGCGGGTGGTTTATAGTTCAGGTGCTCTCAGTGGGAGAGCCCAACGCTCGAGGCTCGCAGTCTAGGAGCCCTAGGAACGCGATCGGGTGGCTGGAATAAGTCACATTGATGTGGCTGAATGCTTTGTGCTGAATATAAATCAAGTTTGAACGCGATCGTCCGAGACATCCTCTTCACACTGATTCGATGAAGGGAGTAACGCCAGGACCACTGATGAACGGTGGTGTGGTGGCGCTTGACATAGTGAGTTCAGAAGATAGCTGGCTATCACAGCGCAAGCAGCTGAATTATTGTGATTTTGGCTGGCCCCGCAAGTTTCGCTGCTGGAACAAATTCTCTGCTCGCACGGGGATGTTCGCGTTTCAGTATGCTCAGCCCTCCCCCGCGAAGTTCGCGAAGAACTCCAGTGTGATACACAAATAGGAAGAAGGGTTCGTTTTTGCGACAGGCGAAGAGTTACATTGCACACTCGCGAGGCGAGGAAAGCATGTCGCGTAGATTGAAGTCATGTGTTATTGGCAGCTCGCTTGCAGAAAATGCTTGAAGACGAGAAGGGATAACTGCTAAACACTACAATAACACAATCTCATTTTTTCCAACAAGATACCACTAACTTCAATCCTTTTACTCGTGGGTATATCTTAACAAAGCTATAATAACAAGATGCCGAAATTCATTTGATGGGGACAATATTGCTTCCCAAACAAGTTTAGATCAGGCAGTAGGAGCACTTTCAAAGAGACGTTGGAAGCACGTTTCAAAGAGGCTTGATAGTGGCATTGTTAGAGAACACTCACCCACAAGCCCCATTCACCCACAAGCCCCATTCACCCACAAGCCCCATTCACCCACCAGCCCCAACCACCCGCCAGCCCCAACCACCCACCAGCCACCCATCCATCTGCGCCGATCCACGTGCCTCTGACCCACCTGCTCCCATGACCCACCTGGGCACGTTGAAGAATTTGCGCAGGCCGGCGTATTGCGGCTTCAGCACCTCATCCAGCGCCTTGCCCTTGTAGGCGGGGTTAGCAAAGAACTGCGGCTCCTTGCACGCCGCACCTCCATGATCGGTGCCCACTGCGACGTGCTCCTTCCCACGCGAACTCCCCCCACCCTTGCTGCGGCCTTTCTTGCCGCCCGTAAGCCCGTTCCACCACACCTGCATGCCGCGCTCCGCCTTGAGAGCCCTGAGCGCGGCCTGGGGGAAGCTGAAGCAGCGGGGGGCGTCGAAGCTGACGTTGAGGCTGACGCCCGACACCGTGACCTGCGTGCCCACCGCCACCCTCGCCTCCACCGCCCCGCCGCCGCTGCCAACCGCCACGCCCACCCCCACCCGCGTGCTCCCATTTCTGCTTCCCCCCATGCTCTCGATTCTGAGGTTTCTGGCAGACATCATAGCCTCGCTTGCGCCGCCGCCGCCGCCGCCGCGCAC